CAAGATGTCCATGCTGCTCTTTTCCATGCATTAAAACTGAATGGTGACCACGAATGGTAAAGATTTTCAAGCTTAAGTACACTTAGAATATAACACAAGTTGCATAGACTACTTTTATAATGATTTCATGGTACTTTTTGACATCCCATGGTCCCCATCCACTTTATTGCATTGGCTTTATTAATACTTGTATTAAGCAAGAATGCATTAAATTGATTACAACTGTCAGTAAAGACTTTTATATTGTTACAATAAAATTCTATTTCAAATAAATGCAGTTCTTTTGAAATTTCTATTCATGAAAGAATCCAGAAAAAAATGTCAGTTTCCACAAAAACTTTAAGCAGCACAACTGTTAATAACACTGATGATCAGCATATTAGAAGGATTTTTGAAGGACCATGTGACACTGATCCACTATAATAATAAAAAACAGTAATTTTAAATTGTATTTCAAAATATTATTGTTTTACTGTATTTTAGAGCAAATAAATGCAGCCTTGGTGAACATACACATTTTCTTTCAAAAATATTTTTAAAATCTTACCTATTCCAAACCTAGGTAGGTTTAGAATGTCATGTCAATGACAGAATTTACATTTTTGATTGAACTATCTCTTTAAGGCTGTTACTGAACTATTCTAAAATAAAGTATTGAATATGTTTTAATGCCATATTTCAAATCCAGTATATAAATTGAATTTACAGATTCTTACAGCTTTGGTTTTTACTCTAGCATTGCGTACAGAAGACTTCACGTCTCTGACTGGAGGAGGAACCTCCAATTTACTGGTGCGGCAGTCCAGCGTCCCCCTCGTCATCATGAGCATCAGCTGTGTCATGGCCAACTGGTTACTGTAGCCCAGGTCAAGATCAATAGCCCATACCTAAATACAAACCAGTGCACACAGACATAAGTCAGCAGATACAACACATAAATCAAAATAACTATTCACTCATTTTTAGCCAACAAGTAGACAATGGCAGAAATTTTAAAACAAACAGACAGATGGGCATTTCAAAACCGTATTTGCAGAAAAAAACGGAGCTCAACTGACATTGTGTATGTGTATGAGAGAGAAAGAGAGAGAGAGAGAGTAGCATACTGTGTCTAAAGCCCAACTGGAGACTCTCTTCACATCTGTATGGTTAATGGCATCATTATAAGGATATTAAGGGGTCA